AAAACGGTGCAAGCGACTCTGAAAGGCGTAAAGTAATGCTACAAAGTTAAACCACTCTGTCTTCTAGGACAGATGAATGGCTCTCAGCAGCAATAGATTGCTTGGAATATCTTCCAGATCATATGGTGGTAGATATTAGCAGGAACTTGCCTGATCAACCAGACAAAGCAGACGCGTGGAAACTACTGCTGTTTGAAAATATTGGTAGATACTATGGCCAAAAAAAGGAGCCACTGTTAAACCATGCATCTGAAATTCATTCAGGAATTGCAGAACTATTAGGTAAGTAAAATAAAGTTGCATTCTGAAGTTTATTTGTGAGATGCACTGACAAACTAAGTATTTATTACAGCAGCTAAGCTTAAAAGTTGACTTCAGGCCTACAGGCTTTTTTACTTTCTAATCATGAAGACTGCTTTGAAATTTTGGTCCTGACTGCATGCAATTCGGTAGTTCTTGTTCAGGCCTATGTAGAATGGCTGTGAAACTGGAGTGCTATAATTCGGTAGTTGGTATCCATGGAAAGTAAGTATCCATAGGAAATTAAATAAATATGGTCTAATATTAAATATTTAGGCTTTAATAGCTAAACTTAAAGCTGTGTATATGCGTTGTACCCCATTTGCAACTCTCCCCTCTTTTCAACAGAAATGCGTTTCTTAGATTTCATGTTATGAACAGCTTTCTAAAATGCTGTCTTATTTTAGTTCTCAGTGAACATCACCTCATCCTTGTTCTCCTTATTTTTCATCCTTTTCCACCTTGATTATTATTATTGTTGGTGGGAATATTTTGCATTTATATCCCATTCCTCCTCCCTATGTGATAAAGGGAGAATACTAGTACATATCTAAAGTGGCTATTCTGCATAGTGTGGCAAATTAAAACTTGGGAAGCTCTACAAAATGGTTTGCAATTAATTCATGGAGCTAGCTTGCTTATCTGGGACACATTCCTCGTTTCATGTGAGATCATTATTTCCAGAACAAGAGGTTGTTCATTTAACTGAAACCTTTTCCTTTTTCAGTGTTTCTCATGCCATTCAGAATGGCTGAACTGCAACTTAACTTAATTGATAGTGAGTTGTCTGAATACAAACCTGGGTGTGGGCTGTTCTCCCATTGTATGCAAACAGCTCTAATCAGCCTGGGAGGAATTTCTGAGAATGAATTGCTTTGTTTGACCAGTTCTGTCTAGAGATATGAACACTGGCTAATTTAGGTGTTCCACTGTAAATTTATTTAAATAAATATGGCAATAGATACTTTTTATCTCTCCCCAGTGAATGGGAAGATGGAGCAATCTTTAGAAGCTGTTCAACTCTATTTGAAACTCCTAGACAGCCAAATCAGGGAGGAGTTCAGAAGACTACTGTACTTCATGGCTGTCGCAGCACATAATTCTGAGCTCAAACTACAGGAGGAGGTAAATGTGTGTACTTAACTGTTACATGTTGCATTACAATTACTGAAATCAGATACTGGTCAGAAAACACATTTGTACCTCAGATACATGACTACAGGAAAAGCAATAGCTGTACAAATCCAAAAGTAATGCCCTTCTTGAAGGAGGAGACTAATTCTCCTCTTCTGGTCATTTATTTCACATTATTCTTCAGAGTGACAACAGGATGGTTGTGAAAAGAACGTTCTCTAAGGCTATTATCAACAATAAAACATTATCCAGAGGGAAAACTGACCTCCTGATCTTGTTCCTTATGGACCACCAAAGAGATGTGTTAAAGGTAAGAACTAGAAGGTGACCTGTATGTTTTTGTTATCTTGTGCGCTTATGCAGAATTGCCTTTTCCTAAACTGCTGTTTAACTGTCTTCTCTTTCCGTTCAAGATCCCAGGGACACTGCATAAAATGGTCAGCAATAAACTGTTGGCTTTGCAGAAAGGTCAAGATCCAAGTAACATAACAGGTAATACCTTAAACAGAACTTTTTATTCTTGTCTTGCACCCAAATAGAAATAAAAGGGGCTGAGATAATGTGAAAAGACATTGCTGTAACAGTGACTAATTTGACTCTGAAGGAGGATGGGTCTGTAGAATCTTGTGTGGTGTTAACTGTTTGAATGCCTCATCTTTCCTTTTTAGGCTATACCTTTTGCCAAAAACTTGATGAAAGAGAATATCGCTCCACTACAGAGAAGACCACAAAAGATGAGCTATTGTCTTTATTGAAAGCTATTGATGAAGATTCAAAGCTCTCTGACAAAGAGAGAAAGAGACTGCTAGGTCAGTTTCATAGTAGCAATCCAAGTATTTTTATGCAGTATTTTGGAGACAGAGTTACTAATATGTATGTTTGACTTTACAAATAGATTACTTTCTATATTCCAGCATTGAAAACACTAATATATTTGTAAATCTTTTGTATTCATGTATCTAATAAAATTATTTTGTGGCAATGGATGGAATTTTATACAGTTATTACCAGAGCCAACAGTACCCAAGTGTCGTGGTTTAAACCCAGTCAGGTAATTCATTCGCTCACTTCCCCCCCTTTCTTGCCCTCCCCCTGCTCTCGGAGGGACGGAGAGGAGAATCGAAAAGAATGCAACTCCCACGGGTTGAGATAAGAACAGTTTAGTAACTAAGGTATAACACAAATCACTACTGCTACCACCAATGATAATAATGATAAAGGAAATAACAAGGGAAGAGAATACAACACCTCAGCACCAGCCGACCAATAACTTGCCCCCCCTCAGCCCGACCAAGCTCCGACCGATACCTCCTCCAACCCCGCAGTCTCCCAGCCCTCCCGGCTAACTCCCAGTTACCTCCTGGGCATGACGTGCTGTGGTATGGAATACCTCTTAGTCAGTTTGGGTCAGGTGTCCTGTCTGCTTCCTCCTGGCTTCCCCTCCTCCCTGGCAGAGCATGAGGCTCACAAAGTCCTTGGCCAAACCAAAACATCGCTTGTTATCAGCTCTGTTCCCGAGCTGAAAGTCAAAACATTGCACTGCACCAGCTACCAAGAAGGGGAAAAATGACTGCTACTGCTGAACCCAGGACACCAAGTTTAGCCCATTCTTACAATTCAGCTTTGCTCATTCTGACTTGCTGTAGGTCCAGAATAATCCTTCGTTTCCTCACCTAAAGCCAAGTCTACTGCCTCCCTCTATTTAAATATGAAAATTGATGAGATGGGAAACACCCCTCTATGAGCAAGACCTCTGCTTTCCGTTACCCCAGCACTGAATTTTTTGCTGAACAGTTTTTTCTAATTGCCCTTGCATTATGTGACTATCATGGAGCGCTGATCTTTAACTTGCTGTGCTGTGGACAGAGCTGAGTAACACCTTCTGCTTGATACTCCACAGCTTTTCCTCAAGCTTGCCAGCTTAACTATACTGTCTGTGTATATGACAAATTACCATGCTGTTTTAAGGTAAAGGGCGCTGTATTGAGGAATTGTTGTGTACCCTGAACTCCCATTGGCTCTTCTGGGATGGTAAAGATATTCTGGATTTTTAGTCAGTCTGGCTGCCACAGAACATGCTGTTTCTGGCTAGTTATCTTCATCTCTGCAGTGTTTTGCTGTTTGTAAGTCTTAATTGATGTCACCAGCAGTAATTAGAAAAGAACTGGAACAAATGAAAGGCCTTTGGGTTTTCTTCTAGCTGTATATTTTATCTATGGCTAGTCTATAATGGTAGTCTCAAGCTGTGCAACACAGGCAACTGCAAGCAGGGAAAATATATAGTATGATTAGAGATCTAATTGTGATTCTTGTGGGGCTGCCTTTGGGGTAATGCCAGCAAAACTCCCTTACAGTCACTATTGCAAGAAATCAAAAACTATTCCATACACAGAGTTGACAGCTCTGTTCTCTTGTATTTGGGGGGAAAAAGCTCTTTTAATTGGGATCAATGGTAATTTAATAATGAAAAAGAAGTAGTAGTAAGTTATAAATGCATGTGGTGGGCTATTTTTATAAGCAGTCCTATCTGAGATACTACTCTGTAATGTCTCACTGAGTAACTCTGCAGTCATTAGCAGTGTCTGTTGCCACTGGCTATTGTTTCTCCAGAGTACTTTATCTGAATGTGAGATGACAACTTGGTGTGCAAGAGGATAATGTGTTACTGTACTCTGGTGGGGGATGGAAGACAAATGTGTAAGAGGCTGATTCTAGTCAGCTAGAAAGGGCCTCTGAAAGATAATCAGTTCTTGAAAACTAATACTATCGGTTGATGTCTAACCCTTACTCTTCAATAGTTACTTTTTTTAGTTCTTGGTTTCAACTGAAGGCTTTTGGTTATAAAGGCACTTTTTTGGGGAAAAGTGGCTTAACTCGCACTTTAAAAACATGGGGGTTGAAAGGCAGTTTCTTGATCATATTTTGAAGTTACTTATGCATGGGTTGCCTTTTCAGCATGTTCTACCATTGCTGTTAAGAGGATCAGGTTTCTATCTTGAAAATGAGCTCTTGCCTATGGCCATTGCCTACTGGAGCGCAAACTCTGACTTAAGAGATAGCGGTGCACTGTGCAGTCACTGGATTGGCTTTGGTGAGAAGCGTGATTTTGGGCTACGGAAACACAGGCTGTGGGGAAGAGCCTGGCACCAGGTGATGTTCAGGAGCATTCTGATAGGCACAGGACCAGAGGCTTATATAACAGTACCTGAGATGGAAGTTAGAAGGGAGTGATGGTCATAGTGTGAGGTGGGTAAGGTGCCTATAAGTGAATATGTGCCAGCGGGACAGCAACAGAAAGCCGGGGCTGCTTTCCCTGTTTGCTGGGTGGATTTAACCTAAAAAGGACAAGGTGCTAGGAGCAGACACCTACTTGTTTGTGCTAGAGCTTGGCTGGAGGCTACAGGCGTGCAGCCCTTGTTCTGGCCCAGAGGTGACTGCTAGGAGTCAGGCTTCCTGAGGCAGATGCAAGCACCCAACGTACCGAGCCTCTGGCCCCACGCTGAGGGTTCCCCCCTATCGACGCACTGAGGGGTGGCGATTGCTCGCCCCGCCCCCGCGCGGAGGGACGGGGAGCCGGCGGGCCAGGCCCTGGGCAGCCGCTGTGGCCCGCCCCTGAGCTGGGGCCGAGCTTAGCAGCGCCGGCCGGCAGGGGAGAGTCGGGTCGGCCGCCCGCTCCGTTACAGCGGGGGGCCGCGGCTCTTCCGAGCAGTGGTAAGGAGGCGGTGGCGGTGTGGCGTGCCCCGGGTGGCAGCGCAGTCCTGAGGCGGCGGTGGACAGGCCGCCGGGCCTCCGTTAGGCCTGGAGGGGGGGAGAGGTCCCTGGGCTCGGTGCGGGCGGGGGCTGCTGCCGGGGCCTGTTCGCTGGAGTGCAGTGAAGGCAGAAGGAGGCTGTTGCTTCCTCGGCATTGCTGTGCTCCGGCCGTTCGGCGTGTGGGCAAACAACCCCGGCTACGCGCCGGGGCCCGTTTTTTGTGTGGCAGCTGTGGGTGGAGCTGCTGCCAGCCCCCAGCCGTGCAGTGCGGGGAGAGGGCCGAGCCCCTGTGGAAGTCGTGCAGCAAAATGGGTGCCCGGCCCTGGGTAGGGTGAGGGGCTGGGAGATTAACGCTGCTGCGGTGGTTTCCTGACGGTGCCTTCCTTGCGAGCGAGCCTGCTGATAGCCCGGTCCTTGGAGGGCCGTGCACGGAACAAGCTGTAGGTAGGGGAAATGGTAAAAGTCCACAAGCATCCCTTTGAATGTGTAAGATGGACAGAGGAGCTGAGATGCAGCTTGCCTTATGGTGGATTGTGAGGGAAAGTAGGTTGTGATGCGGAGAACAGAAGGAAGAGGAGAGAGCTAAGTGTTGGAATCAGGCTTGAAGAAAAGTGGCCTTCAGGGTACATGTGCCTGGCTTTAAGGTAAGGGAGTTGTCAGGTGTCGTACAGAGGCAGATGAGTGACGTGAAGGAGGAGCTGCTTCAGTCTTGTGTGTGCTCCACGTGAAGTTTGTTTAGTATCGATGTGCCTCGGATGATTGGAGGACCTTTGATGAAAACATCCTGTGGAAGTATTTTGATTAAATTTTAATTTGTTGGGTTTTCTCTTGCACTGCTGTTTTTATTGAAAATACAGCACCAAGCAGTGGACTTTGTTAAGAGTCAGAATTGTTTCTGTGAAAGAACAGACGATGATCATGCTTTTGGAACAGGTATTGTCAAGCTTATTTACCCAGTGGAAAGAGGATGTGTTCTAGATGTGTTCCAGCAAATAACAGCAGTAGTCCAGCAGAAAAGAGCAATTACTGCAGACCAGACAACTAAGCCAACAAGTGTGCCTGTTCACATCATCTGCTGAGCAGTCATTTGGTAGAACAGTCCAGCAGTTCTTGTACCCACTTTCCACAGCAGAAGCAGGACTTTTTTCATAAATAAATGGCAATTAAATGAAATTGTTGGGTTTGAGACTGTAGCTCTTGGTCTGCCACTTTACGGAATGTGATGCTTTAGGATGTGGCCTGCATGGTAGGAATGGTGTCCTGATGGGCAAAGCTGGGAGTAGTAATCATGGGACTGATTATAGTCTTGTTCCTATCAGTTATCTTCTGAGAGTCCTCAAGCAACTTAATGCATGCCTCAATTTCCCCTCTGTAAGTAAGGTATATATACCTTTGTAAGGGCAGTGAGGATAAAGTGCAGTTAGAATCTGCAAGGCACTGTGAAGTGTCATGTGCATTAAAGACCAAAGTGGGTCTTAGTTGAGCCATCTTTGTGCTTCAGATTTTGGCTTCAAGAGGATGCTTTGTGGAAGAGAACGGATAGGAACAACCCTCCAGTATGGCTGAATGAATATGGAAGGTTTTATGGTAATGCTTTTATTCTAGTCAAATTCAACAACACATTTCCTTCCTCTGTTTAACCAGTCCTGTCTTACATTTTCTATTGCAGCTGCTGCTGTGATCTTTTCTGTTAACTGCTCCTTTTTAACAGAGCTTCTTGCCATCTTGCTGCTAGAGCGTTTGCAGTAACAGACCTCTTGTCTGCTAGACTGGAGATTCACTTCTCCTGGAGCACATCAGTGGTTTCCCACTTGCATGCTGGATTGGATGCCTTGTGTTACACCTAGCTGGAGGATCTCCCTGCCTTAGTTAAAAAGTAACAGTGACAAGTACTTTCTGTCCCAGTTGGGGTTGCCTGCCTTTGTGAAGAGGAATGATCAAGCATTTGGAGCAGAGACATCAGTGACTGTTCCAGCTAGAGGTACGGCTAATACATGGTTCTGACAACACCTGTACTGGTGTCTTTGTTTTCCTGTGTAATTCATCCCATGCTTTATATGCTCTGTTTTCTTTTCTGAAGTAGAGCTCACCTGGTGCTGTGGATAAGCGTCACATATTGTTATGTATCTCATGCAAGATGATGATCCTGAGTCATTGCTGTAGAACAAAACCATTTCTTATGTGCACTGAGCTTTCCAGCTGTCCTCTGGAATCACATTAGTGCAATCACTTTAAGCACTGATGGAGCAGGGTTACTTATTACAGCTCTTCTGTGAAATGGAAAGAACCTGTGCTGCGCTTTTTATTTCTATGCTGTTGCTTGCTTATGCTGCTTCCTCCTCAGTGTAGTCTTTGGAACTGCAAGTATTTTTAACTCTCTTGCTGAGAGCTTGTTTCTTTCAATTTGGAAAGTGGGAATGGTGGGATACTGGGTGAAAGATGACAGTGGTGGCGTTCCAGGAGCTTTCCTTTTTTATTTGAAAGGCACACTTTTCCTGACTCCCCCCTTCACAGAACATGAAGGTTATTTAATTCAGTTAGAGACATTGCATGCTCTCTTAACAGATTTCTGTAAAACTGAAGTCTGAACTGTAGCTTCCTGTAGGATGGAGAGTTTTCAATGGGAAGATGTGCAAATTATGTCATTCAGAGGGAAAGCTGAACGTGAAATAAGTGACGATAATGAACAGTGAGACATGCTTTTTTAATGGTCATTTTTTCAGTGTAACTTTGGGTACACTGCTGATACCTGTGATGTAATAGAAATATTTATTATCTAATGTTTAATAAATACTTAAAATACTATAGCTATATACCTTACTGTTGCAATGTGGTGTTTGTTTGCTTTTTAAATGCATAAATTGTGATTCTTGCATGGAATGAAAACATGGGAGTAGAATTTCACATTAATTAAACTCCAGTCCTTTTCCTGCTTCTTAATGCTTTTGGATTGCTCAGAGTGAAAACTTCCAAGTTATGAGCAGTTGGGGCAGACCATAGTCCAGGGGTCTGTTACAGTCAGGCAGATTTATCATTTTGTATTGGAAAAGTATCTGGCATAATCTTTTTGTAAAACGTGTTTCTAATAGTATTTTTTCAGTAATTTCATAAGCACTGCTAAGAAAGAAAATTACTTTCTCATCTGTATGCATTATGGCAAGGGAACAGTTTCAGATTTTTGAGAACTTGTGGGAATGGAGATTAAGTAAATGGTAGTTGTATTGAAAGCATCTCATTTTGTTTAAGATGGGAAGTGAGTCATCGAGTCCAGGTCCCCTAGCATTATGGGAATGACATCATGTAATTCCTCATGAGAATTCTTTCATTCTTAAGTTTTTCTTAATCAAGAGAAATCCTGGTGATATTTCCCACTCAGCCCTGTCAGAAAATGCTTATTCATTCCCCTTTTTATCTTCTTTTCTTTTTCTGAAAAGAGCCAACTGAAAATGTCTCAGAATCCTGACAAGCCACCATCAAGCAAAGAAAAGTCAAGTGATTTGGGGGATGGTCAAGAGGAGAGCTTGGACAACCCAGATCAGTCTGTCAGAAAAAGAATACGACAGAGTGCTTTAGGATCACACAGAGATGATACGCCAAAGTGTAAGCAGAACTGCTTTGTGAAAAAGGCTTTGAAACTTTGCAGCACCTTTCTCCTCATTTTTAGTACTTAACTGTACACAATAACCATGTTGTTCTGAGCCATGTATACCATTGCATGTCTGCAGTCATGGAAGGGATAAGCACAACTCCAGTGTGTTCCAGCTAAACTCCCACTGCTGTTTGCATTATCAGCTGAACCTTCTGGATTGGTGGAGCAGCGTCTGTTTCTACTGCAGGGCAAGAGAAGCTGTTATCAACAAAGTTATATCCTGTTATCCCTCTCCTAATGCAAATAGAAAGTTGTACATTTAGTCCTAACATGACTTCTAGTGTCAAGTAGGACTGCATATTTTAAATTTATTCCTAAGTCATATTTGTCATTCAGCTTTTGACATGAGGAGCTGAATGCAATATGGTTACCAATTATTCCTAGCAAATCTATAGATAAAAGTAAGAGAAAGTTTTCTGTACCTAGGGATTCAATTCAAAGAGGCAGTGTTGCTCAGATAACTAGTTGAGAGTTACTGTAGAGAGTGTCTCAGCAGGTAATATTTTATTTATTGCATTCCTTTTATTTTTTTAATCGTCTTCATTACTACTTGAGGTTTAGTGTTGTGGTTTAGTGCCATGTTACACAGAGGAGATGTTCTGAGGGAGTTTATGTTCTTATGACTTACTGGTTGCCTGACAGGAAATGAGTTGTATGTGTGCAGAGATGCTATGAACACAGGAAAGTAAAATGCACAGCACAGTCTTGCACTGCACTGTACCCCAAAGTAATCACGGGTCTCAAGCTCTGCCCTTTTGTAAGGGAGCAGATATAATAAGAGGATGAAGTAACATGATTTAAGAGCATTCTTTGATAAATGAAAGAGGCTTAGCTTTTAGTGGATCCTTTGCTAGGGTGATGTCATTTGGCAGTCTGACAAGAGCACTCCCAGTCAGCTCTGAACTTTGTTGCCCTGCTAGTTCTCAGGATATCCAGGGATAATCCTTGCTGTGTTTCCAGAGTCACTGTGCAAGATTAAGCTGCAAGTTGAAGGAAATAAGGGTTTGGGAGGGTTGCACAAAATCAGCAAGATATGAATGAAAAAATACCACATTGGAGCCTCACAGTATATCCTTGGAACAGCTCCGAGTGGCAGACAAGTGATGGACAGTTACTCTTACAGCATCTTTTCTATGTTACTAGCTTAAGTCCAGTCAAATTGGATTAGCAAATGAGGCTGTCATGATAGTTTGCCTCAAACATACCTCAGTGAACCCAGACTATGAAGATCCCTGGTTGGTTTCTTCCATTTTGTGAATTAGCATGTTACTCCTGTGCCAGGACTCTAGTTGAAGTGAATGAACTATGGAAAGGAATTGATCCATAAGGGCAATTCTGCTGTGGCTCTTTCCCCTGTCCTGCTCCACCAGATGTTTTCTGTGGAAGCCGAGGTGGACCTTTCCATTCTTGTCTGCATCACGTGAGGACACCAAGGCTTTAACCTTCTCCTTTTCCTCAAACACCTGGACCAGGGAAGAGATACGGTGCTTCTCCTGACATTTGGCAAGGCATTGAAGGGCACCCCCACACCCTGCTTTACTGGTGCTAGCACAGCTAGGGGGAACCTTTACCACAAAGAATCAGCAGCAACAGGTTTCGGTTGGCTTCAGTGGGGTTGGGATTACCCCCCTAACCAGCATGGCCTACACCCCTGGCACCTTCTCTGCCTTTATGTGTCACTTCCTGCACTACTGCCATGCCATTAGCGTCCTAGGAGGATGTTGTATACTCCAGAACAATTAGGAGCCATAATTCCCAGTGCATATTAAGTTTTCTGAAACTGTCCCTGTCCCTCTTCTACCTTTTAGATTTCTACAGTCAGCCACTACCTTTGTCTCCTGCCTAATGAAAACTGACTTTTTTTTTTCAGGTCTAGAGCTTACTCCTACTTGCTTGTATGCCCCAGGGCCCAATTTGCAATTGCTTGCTCATCCTTGTCAAGCCCAAATGCCTGCCAAAGGAAAAGGTCTTAGGCAATGGTGCTGGGACTAGGTCTTGATGTTGTTATTGTTTGGACCATGGTTTCTGGAGGGAAAAAAAAAAAAGAGTCTGGAGAAATGCCTGTTGCACTAGAAGTAGTGAGAATAATTAGCTACTAGTGTGTTATTGCTTAATGGTGGTTTGTTTGCTGACTGCTTTAGAGATGAAGTCACTTCCTTGAAAAATATAACATTGAAATGGCAACATCAGCACAATAACTGAGGAAATAGTGTGGTGAAAATGCTAGTATTTTCAATAATTTCTTCCTACACTACGGAAGAAGATGCTAAGATACTATTAAGCAGTCCTGAAGAAGTGGGGGTTTGGGTGTGGGGATTTTGGGGGGTTGTTTTTTAAAAGATCTTGATAGAACTTGGAAGCAATTGATATATTGAGCCTAGACTATCAACTGGGGTTCACTCCTTTGTTTTCTGTAGTACTCCAAACTGTGTCATCCCCAGCTGGGAAGGGAAGGAAAGAAGAATCTTCAAGTGTCCCTCTGTACTGTAAAGAAGGTGGAAAGGGTCCATAAGCATTAGCAGACTTTTTTCCATAGAGTTTCATGTAACTATCTGATACTTTCATTTACGTTGCAGCTAGTCCTCCTCGGCTTGTGTCAATAGAGGAGCTCATGGAAACAGCTAAGGGAGTAACCAACATGGCATTAGCACACGAAATTGTTGTAAATGGAGACTTCCAGATAAAGCCAGCTGAATTACCAGAACACAGGTAAGATTGTTACCAAATAGATACATAAATTAAATTTGCATTTGAAGAACTACAGAACAGCTCTTAGTGGATCAGGTACAAGCTCTGGCTAGTATCTTAGTATCATAAGGAGAAGGTGGTAATCATGATGTTCTGCTTCCCCAGAAACGTGTGTGTGTGAAAGGAGTAACTGGGCACAAATCCCAGGGTGCTGGGGTTTCTGTCAGTGTCCCCTTGTCTCAGGAGTCTGAGACCGCAGCCTTTTCAATACCCAAGTCTAGCTGCAGATGCAGGTGGTGCTCAGCATTTTTGAAGCTTTCACCACCTGTGGCAGTTAAGATGAAATTGTGAACATTTTAGCTTTTTCTGTCAGTTTCTCCAGGGATTTTTTGGGAAGAGAGTCCTATGTTTTATTAGGTTAGTCCTTGCTCATTTTAAGTTTGAAGTCTTTCCTTCTCTGTCTTACCCACAGTAATTCTGTCGCCTGCTGAAAGGGAAAACAGAAGCTGCGTGGATGTCTGGTCACATATTGGCTAGTGTAGCTGACCCAGTTCTATCTACAGAGGCTTTGTGTGCTGTTTTTTTTCTTTTCACACACAGAGGGATCTGGCTGACCATGTTTCCTGGGTTGATTTGTGAGAGTGAGTGCACATTTCATGGATGGAACTTGGTCCACATTGAAACCAGTGTTGTCTGTAGGTGTCTGCATTTGAGAGAGAGGCCCCAGAGCATGTTACCTTCATGGCTGCTGCAGAAGAATATGATGCAGGTGGCTCTTAGAAGACTGGCATTGCTTGTCCTCTATAGAAATCAGTCATTCTGAGACAAAGGGTCTGATGCCCATCTCCACCAAAATATGGTGACGGTGGTTCTCATGAACATCAGTAATGAGGATGTTGCTTGGAACTTGAATTGCCCCTGCCTGAAAATGCAGTAATGGGAACATTCTCATCTTCCTTTCTCGCCTGGACTGTTGCTGTCTTTCCAGTGTGCCACTGGTGTTTTATTAATGGCTGTGGACTGCTAAACAATAGTAACCAAAGAAAATGTGGTCATGCTATCAAATACACTGAACCTCACGGCCCCAGCAGGAATTACCTTTCAGTAGGGGTTGAATGGAGTAGATGAGGGTCTTTGCTGTATGTTCTTCACTTGTTTCAGCTTCTCAGTTGGTAGGAAATGGAATGGTGGCCTCCTCAAATGCTGAGGACAAACAATATTTAACTGAGCTGGTACATGACACTAGATACCTCTGTTGTCCATGAAGACTCGTGTATATTTTAGAGCTCAAGTAGTGATTTGATCTGTCTTCTCAGCACTATCTGTCAGTGTGTGCCTTGTCTGTTGTTAGACAGACTCCTGCTTTGCTGCCTTATTTGCAGGTCATGTGGCTCTATGAACTAGGAGCTCTCTTGAGAATGGAAAGTATGCCTGAGGTGTGCAAAGCTCTTTCTCCCCACTCTGCCTTACCTTCTGTGTCTCAGCATCTTTTTGTGTAACTTCCATCAGGCATTTTCTGCTTTGCAGCTGATGGCTGAGAATAAATGCTTCATCTAAAGTCTCAGTTAAGAGGGTGCTGTTGTATTCAGTGTCTGCTGCTGCTCTGTGTTCCTTCAGATGGATTTCTTATGTGAAAATGTGCTGTGATTAGGGGGTAACTTTTCTGGTATGCCTCAATGCCATAAAATTGATCTCAGTATTTTTCAGAGAAGAAGGATTTTAGTGTGTTTTATTTTTTCCATCCTTTCTTGTGTGTTTCAGGCTTACAGTCTCCTGCAGCTTGAATGTATGTGTAGACACATGGTTGGAGGAGGAAGCTTGTGACTGTATTTGCAGTTGTAGATGCTATCAGTAGAGCATATGTTGGTTGCCCTCAGAGGGCCACAGGGCATAAAGGCCTCTGGGTGCCGCCTGAACCTCAGCTGCACAGAGTCAGAGCCTTGGGAACCTGCTGAGTGTTGTGAGCTTCTTCCATGTTGAAGTTAAAGCTGGTGTGAACAGGAGCCTGCTGGCTGAAAAGGAGTAACTTTCAGTGTTCTGGATTAGGAACCGGTACTGAAGCAGTAGAATTCATTTCTTTTTTTTAAAACAAACTGGACTGGGCCTGTATCTCAGAGTAGTTGCAATATCTACACATTGAAATGTAGAAGCTTTTGTGTCAGGGAAGTGACTCCATTTCTGTTTACTTAATGAATTTTCCTTCGGAGAATTGCATTGACTTAGTGAGGCTCTTGAAAGTAACAGGAATACTGGTTCTCTGGTCTTTTGAATACAAAACTAATTTTTGTGATCTCTCTTCTTCCCATTGTTTGGTTTAGAGGTAGCATGTGCTAAATAATTACAAGGATTTTAATTTGTAGCTACTTCTGCTTGTGTGTAAACCTTTAGTAGGATATAAGCCATCCCAAACCCTGTGTCCAGTTTTTCTCGCTTTTTTGTATAACTTAAAATGACAAATCTCTTCTCTGTTGATCAGCATATATTCATTATTACACTGTATTCATATTATTGTCTGCTGTTCTTCAGGAGCTGCAGGTTATCTTTGTCAGGTGGTGCAGAGACAAGTATTGTTTATTAATTGGTCGTATTTACCCATAGCTTAGAAAAAAAAGTAAGAGATATTGTGCATAAAGCTTTCTGGGACTGTCTGGAAGCTCAGCTAAAGGAAGATCCACCAACTTATGACCATGCAATTAAACTACTGGGAGAAATTAAAGAGGTAAGATGATGTCATATCAAGGGAAATTACAGAATTTGAGTAGCTGTGTTGATACGAATGAGCACAAGTGGTTGAAGTTTGGCTTTTCGTGAAGGACTTTCTTAATCTTTCTCACTACTGTATCATTATCTGTGAACATATGTAAGTTGTATAACCCCAGAGGAGAAATTTGAATGTAAAAACAAATGCAAAACAATGTAAGAAAGAGGATTAAAAGGAAAGTAAAACTAGTTTCCTCATATCAAGCTTCCTTCATGTTATGAGTGTAGTATTTGTACTACGAAGTATTTACCATTTAGTAACTTCAGTATCATAAAGAGGGGAAACATTTGGTGAATGGTTGGTTAAAAAAAGAAAAAAAATCCACTTGTAAAGGGAAATTAGTTTAAATAAAAAGTGGTTCCGTAACTGTTTTGATCCTTGTAGTTGTCTTTGGTGTGTAGAACTAACACACTGTTAAAAACTTTCCATTTCAGAACCTTCTGTCTTTCTTGTTGCCTGGTCATACTAGACTGAGAAACCAGATTACAGAAGTTCTTGATCTGGATTTGATAAAACAGGAGGCAGAAAATGGGGCCCTTGATATTGCTAAGTTGGTCGAATTTGTCATTGGGATGATGGGGACTCTCTGTGCTCCAGCTCGAGATGAAGAAATTAAGAAACTGAAAGATATTAATGAAATAGTTCCTCTATTCAGGTACTGAAATGGTATTGATTGGTCACATTGAGAGTGCCTTCAATAATTTTATGGGGGCTGGGGGGAGGGAGGGCCAGTCCAGCAGGGCCACCTGCAAATCTCTGTAAGAAAAGGGAGTGATAGGGATGTAGTTGTGGGTGTGAAGGGGGAGATACTCCAGAGGTCTTTAACAAGGACCAACTTTGTTCTGGTGAATTGGAGTATTTGGCTCCCACATGTCACTGAAGGACATTTTCTTAAATGCCAAGTGCATATAAGCTGTAAGATAGCAGGTGAATGGGCAGTTTGTATTAGAATGAATAGTAACAGCAGAAGGGGGGGGGGGTAGGGTGGGGAGAGAAGCAGCATAGGAAAAAGGTGTTACTGTTCCCTAACCAGTTCATCCTTTCCCCTCAACTGGAGCTCTCTCTCCTACACAGAGGCTTTTGCTCTGGCACTGTGTTCTCAGCTGAATAGTCCCTGCCCTCTTCTCTTCCCTTTTCCCTCTCCCCCTTCCCCCCACCCCCCAAGTTGGTAAAGTCAATTTCATGGAGGCATTTTTACAGGAGACCAAGATTTATTTCCTACTTTGAACAGACATGCACACACATGGTTGCTCCAGCTCTGCCCCATGTTCTTACATTGTTAAGCATTCTGTTAATGTTCCCCATGCATCTTTCTGCTCTTCCCTTACACAGTCTGTAATAAATCTTGTAAATAGTACCTCTTAAACGTCTGCAGCCTTGAATAACTTTTTCTGTTTGTTTGTTTAGAGCTATTTTCTCTGTGTTAGACCTAATGAAAATGGATATGGCAAACTTCGCTGTCACTAGTATTAGGCCAAAATTAATGCAGCAGTCTGCTGAGTATGAAAGAAAGAAGTTTCAGGAGTTTCTTGAGAAACGGCCAAGTATGACTTTGTTCCTTTCTTTCTTCCCCTCTGCCCTCCCAGTGAACTGCATGCTTTTGCTTGTACACCATGAGAAAAAATCAGATTTTTCATAAGTTCTAGATTTCATATGGTAAATGACAGCTTGTGCCCCAAAACTATGGTTTGACAAAATCTGCCAGAACAACAGTTCTCCGCTTCATACACTGCAGTTTAGTTCCATTTCAGTACAGTGTAGGCCATAAATACCTGGCATCATCTCATCTCTGATTTCCTGTAGCTGCATGGTTTTAATTGTCTTAGATGTTCTGCTTAATGCAGTAAGTGAAATGCATGTCAGTAACTGATATCATGGGTATTAGTAACTAATGGGATTATTTGGAAATCATTGGTGGAGAAACCTAACTTTGAAAAGGAATTTTCTTAACAAGACTTTTTTTCCCACTACTCTGCAGATTCTTTAGACCTTGTCACAAGGTGGTTGCAAGAAGCAGCAGATGATCTTGTCAAGCTGAGATGTAAAATGTTGCCTCCCCACTGTAGTAGTGATGGTGCCACTGGTGGAGCTTCCGCCTTGTGCTCCACTGCTGTACAAAATCAGGCCTATCTGAACCTCCTGAAGTGGGACCATGTGAACAGGCCTTTCCCAGAAGTAGGTTATTTAACAGAAAAACGCATTTCTGTGCTTCTTGTACTTTTTCTGTTTCTGGGATATAACAGAAGCTTGTTTGGATTTATAGCCTTGCAACAAGTACGATACTAAAACATCCCTTGATTGAGGGCTCTTGTAGCTCTTCTAATAAGTGCTGCTTTTTCAGTATTGAAACTTAGTTGAAAAAGAGGAGTTAATTCTTTACATTTTGTTCCTGTTACTTGACTGCTGAGCACATATTGCTGTTTTCTGTGTCTTCATCTTGCTGTCACTGGTGTGGCTAGGTGGGAAATGCAGTGTCACATCACAGCCCAGTGTGCTGGCTTCACTTTGTGCTGGCTTCCTCATTCTTTGCAGACGGTGCTAATGGACCAGACCCGCTTTCAGGAAATACAGCTGGAGCTGGAGCAGTGCCTCTTGACTGGGACAGTCCTTCTGGTCACCTTCAGTGCAGCAGGCCCAGCACTCGCTGACATGCCTGGATTTGCTGAGAAAATCAAAACCATTGTCAAGGTGCTGCTGACGGGAATCCATCTGCCGTGAGTACTGAATAGTCCTCACACAGGCTCTGGCGTAGCTGTTCTCACCCTAGTAAATAATCAGCTTAAGCCTCTTTCTGGCTGTAGAGTATGTCAGAGGAAGTGATGAGGGCTTTTTATGAGCCCAGGCTGACAGTTTTTTTCAGCTTACTCAGACAGAACCATCTTTTCTTGCTGTGTTCTTTTGTGACCTCCAAGTGCTCCTTTATTCAGTGTTCTCCTTGATGCCTTGCTGGCACATGAGAGCACTAGCAGCTAACCATGCTCACCCTTTGTGCCAGGTCCCTCAAAAACTTGAGTGTGGTACAGTAAGATGTGTGCAGATACAGAACGATTGCTGTAGACATCATGGGTTGATGACTGGTTTTTGCATTAGAACTGTCTGTGAGGGCAGAAGGTCAGCTCTTATTTGTGTGGATTGTTCAGGCTGGAAATCTTCAATGCTGTCTATTCTACCTCCTGGTTTTATATCTCGACTTTATTTTTCATATATATATATATATATAAAATATACTATTCTTTATAGTTCTGGCTTTATCTGGATTACACTTCTTCCATTACATTTGATAAATAAGGCAACTATAACTGGATATTTTTTTATCCAATAATAAAATAGCCAACTGTAAAAAATATATTTTTATAGTTTATTTTCTGAAGGTGGAGAAAAAAAGGCAACTAACTCCTGTAGTTCAGTAACGCTGTGCTCCACGTTCTCCAGCTCCTTTAACCTGAAGGAATCTTTGGCCGCCACGGGTGAGAAGGTATGTGCTGAAGTTAACACCTGCCTCTCCCAGCATGGCTTCACACCGCTCTCAGCTGAGCGAGAGACTGTACTTAAAGGACAAATCCAAGCGGTGGCCAATTCGGATAACACCATATGCAAGTTAATAGGTATGCTTGGACAAAACCACTCTGTTCTCAAGTGACCACTTGTCTGTCTTTGCACATCAGCTGGTGGCATGACATGCATGGTTCCTCACTTACGCTCATTTCCTGTGTTCTGTATGTTACATGAGATTACACTATTTCTGACTGACTCTCTCTTTTGAAAACAAACCAAACTCTTGGTCCAATTTTTCCAGGTTCTCGAATTCAAAAGTTTCTGGAGAATTACCTTGCATCTAGTCACCAGAAATCATTGCCTGCTGTTCCTGGAGGACTAGGCCCTATTCAAAAAGAGCTGGAAGAGATCGCCGTCAAGTATGTTCGTCTTGTCAACTACAACAAAATGGTCTTCAGCCCTTACTATGATGCAGTCCTTGGCAAAATACTGTCTAAGGAAGAATACCAACTTGCAGGGAAGTCAGAAGAATCCTAGTATGCTACCAGTACAGTACCGTCAGCTATTTTAAACACTTGCACCAATATTTGTCTAGGAAAACAGCTTCCCATGTAAATACTGGTTCCTTTTAATTCACTAGTGATGACTGATGAGGAAAATACCTGAGATCCAAAAAGGGTTCTGAAATAAATGATGAGAGAGACATGCATTTTTCATGTAAGTATGCAACCTGGGTGGGGGAATGTCTTGGTAGTTTTCTGGCTGCAATTTTTCAGCTGGTGCTAGGTAGGACAAGTTTAAGAATCAAACTTTGTATTTAAGTAAGTGGCTCATTTTAGGGCATTTTACTGTAATTTACTGTGAATTTAGTTTAATTAATCCAGAGCAGATTAGCTATGGGGTGATTTGGCTTTAAAGTAAAAAAAAATAAAAAATCTTACTTCAAAGAAGAAAGCTAAAATTCTGGATAAGAGAAACTTTAAGAGGCAAAAAACAAAGCCAAACAGCACTTTATTGTAACATTATGGTTAGTGTGGTAGGCTACTAGTTTTTTCTGCATTTTACTGCATTTTTAATAGCATTTTTTTGCTGTTTACGTGCAGATGTTACACAAGACATAATATATTTTTGTAGTAAATTTTCTGGTTATTGGGTAACTGTCCTCTGCTATGTACAGTACTTCCAGAGGTGGCAATCTTATAGATTGCAGCTGTATTTATCTCTTGTAAAGACTTCAGAAGGGCAGAGCTAAAATGTTTTGATAAAAGTGGCATTTCTTACCTTTTTTTTTTTTTTTTGCTAGCAGTTTACTCCTTTTTATGTGAAATACTCATTTTCAAGGGACTCTGTCATTTTCTGAGGGCAGATTTCAAGTGTGTGACACTTTAGGCTGAAAATTTTACTTGTGTTTTTAAAACTACAACTGGAGATGGTTGCATTTTCAATCATATCTTCAAAACTATCCAGGAAGTGCAGAGCACTATCGGAAGTATAAGTGATCTTGATGCACTGTGAGAAGTGAATGATTTACTGATAGTTTGAACATACAGGGAATATTTTCAGTAGAAGATTTTTTTTTCACTTTGTAGAGGTGTTCTTGAAACTTAAAATAGTTGCAGGTCTTGAATTGAGTTACCTACATGTTGTATAGAGGAGCGTTCACAGAGGAGCTCAATGACCTTACAGCCTTACTGAGATTTCAGACTCAGCCAGGAGGGAAGTACATTTGAAATTTTCTTCTGGCTGAGCACCGTGCTGTGCTTCAGTCATCAAAATTTGATGATTTCCTGAAAGCCAAGTTCATAGTTAGAAACAGTAAGTGTCCCAAGTACTACTAGACTAGCCAAAAGAGAATGTGCTGGTGTCTTAAAAGCCACGAAACCAACAAGTTACGTAAAATAAATAAATGAGGGCCTTTTAATGCTCACATCCAGGTTCATTTTATCAATCAGAATAATAGAACTTCTAGAAGGAAGCTCTTGATCATGAATCAGTGCTGATGTTTCCCTTTCTAGTTTTCCTTTAATTGTCAGTGTGGATATAGCTGCACTGACTTTGAGTTTGAGGAAGGTGGGTTCAGTAAGACCTTTTATTCCATTAGCCTGTGCAACTATAAACCAAATCTTTTCTCATTCATTACAAACCCTGTTCCCCAAGGGAAAAAACACACCAAAGCCCTGTAAGAGATCAGCAGCTCAGTCAAGTTATTTTTCTTTTGGCTGAAGTTACTCGGATAGTAAAAGGTGATCTGTCTTTGACTCTTTCTTTGATAACTCAAAAATGAGTAGGTTTGGTTAGCCAGAAAAGTGAGTTCTGAGTAGGTTTTTGGTGTGGACTATTTCATTGTCTGAATCAGCACAGGATACTACAGAGGTCTTCAAGATTGCTGCATCTGCTTACTGTACTTTGTCATTAGTGCAGGATCCACCTCAAAATACAGCCTATAGCTCTGCAGCTCCAACAAGGTAATTCAGTTGTCTTTGTAATGAAAGAGCTAACAGAAATGTTATTGCTAGGGATGTATAACCAAGACAAAGCTGTTTCCATTTTTGTTAAATGACAGTTGCAAAAGTTATATATTGCTGCTGTTTTATATTTTAGCATTGTCTAGAAGCTGCCTTTACAGGCCTCTGTGGAATTACGCATACTACAGGAATTTAGGTGCTGTAGGGATGATCTCCAGGATTTGGGGAGGAACAACATAGTGGTGAAACAACATACTTAGAAAAGCCTTTGAAAAGTAGAACGACTGGGACTGCATTATAGATAGATAAAATTGTACTTGCTGAATCCAGGAGATGGCTGCTCCCACTTGAGGAATTCACGGTCCAGATGTCCGTGACGATCAGCTCCTGCTTACTCTGCCATCGAAGCACGGACTGTGCTACAGGCTTGATGCAGTGCGTCCCAATTCTCCTTGCAGGGGCTTGATCCTAGGGCTTCACACGGAGAGAAGTGCAGTACCTGCTGTTGGCTCGTTTTGCCTTCGGCGGTACAGGCAGTGGGAGTGAGTGCCTCGGTGAGTGGTGGGTGTTGTGGGCCTTACAGCAGTAAAGATCTAGAGACAGAAATAAATCCCCATGAGTGCAAATCACCTTAGTGACTTTGTTTTTTTTTTAGTGATAGCAGTTGATAAATAGTTTCTCTACATCCTCTTAAAAAGGGAGATACGATTAAGTGGCAAAGCAAAGAAGAAATTCTATGACTGATAAAGCCAGACCTTACCTCCATGGGAACATAGTTCTATGGTTACACATAGGCTGTTTCACCTTTTAGTCCAATAGACAGGAGCACTGACTTGTGTCATCTCTGCTGCTGGTGGTGGGAATGTCTGTGTGTCTGAATGTCCTTTAGTCCACAGGGATTCTCATGGTCTCAGCATGATGAGTGCAGTTCTGAATAGCCTGTTACAAGTTAAAAATCTACAGTATGTGTAGAAACTGCTTCAAAAGTTCATATAGTGGTTTTGTTAGCTTGTTTGATAATACCAGGTTAAACTGTGTAGCTAATCTATTAACATTTAGCTTTGTACCTTAAGTGGAAGACCAATGCAGTTATCCAGGAACAGACTGTGTGAACTAGTACTCCTGGACAATCCACATTAGAAATACGTACTGAGTTTGTCTTACGATGCTGTCTTCTTTAAACAGTCTGGAATTAAAAGCAGAAGTATACTGTATCCTCTAGAAAAAACGGAAAAAAAGCTAATTCTAATATGTATGCTCTGATCAATTTCCTGTGATGGTCTTAATAACATTGCTTTTGAAGTGGCTGAGTCATATTTAAGAAGTAACTTGTTGTGTTTGAATAAAACCAGAATGAGGCATGATGTTATGGATATCCTTTTATTTTAAAGGAATGTTTCTTTCCATTTTCAACTACAAAACAGATTCCATACATTCTGCCATAAATAAAAATGAACAATAAGGCAGGAACTACATGAACAAACTGAGAACAACTGTTTTCCAGAAAATGTGAATTAAAAATGCTTCACAAGTATAAGCCATCCAGTTTTTAAAATAAAACTGTTGAGAACCCACCAGATCTCAAGTGGTAGATGTGAACACCTTTGAAGAACAAAATGCAGTTTTGACATTTTGCACTTTTGGTTCTGAAAACCTTGATTTGTTCAGAGCACGTTCTAAGGTTGTTCTGGCTGTTTTCGGATCAAGAACCATAGGAGAAAAGAGGCACCACAGTAACAAAACCATTTTCAAGATTTACTTTTGTTTGCAGCTGTCCCTTTTAAATGCCTGACTTTTAAGAGACTGACGGACTCAATGCAAGTCTTTGTCTATCACAGCAGAACTCCAGACTTGTTTCACCGGATTCGCTTTTGCTGTCGTGCTCTGTAAATGTCATGTACAGGGGGAACTACAGATCCTTTCTCCTCATCGTCATCAGAATCCTCATGTGGCCTCTTAATAGTCTTGTTGAGCATAGCGTTGTTTTCCACAGGTCCATTGCCTTCCACAGCTATTTCAGGTAGGCCTCCAGTAATTAACCGCACAGCTTCATCAACAGCTGCAGAAAGAGAAAAGGATTCATTTCATTTGCGAAACTTAACCTCTCCAATTAGAAATAAGCATGTGAACAGGGACACCAAGACAGGTACATTGTGGAGATTTCTGGACCATGAGACATGTTCCTACCCTTTTCTCCCATAAATGTTAAGAATTAAGTCCTGACAGTGGAAAACTCTAAGCTATGGCAAGCGCTAATTATAAAGTAAGACCTCCCTTTACACGAGAATTGAGGTCATTTGCAAGGTTAATGAAAGAGGAAAGCCTGCTGGGGAAACAGTGTAAGTAGTTCATGATTCATCAGAAAGTATGCATACAGAACAAGTCAGTTTCTGCTTATCAACAAAGAGGGCTTCAAAAATTCCATGTATAATTTCAATAGATGTTTTATTTTCACTCTAAAAGAAATTAAATCCCAGCTTTCGTTCTCGCTCATCATTTGCTTCTGAAACTAACAGAGGGAATGAAAGTCATAGTTTACGTGAAGCCTGGAGTATGGATCTGTCCTGGTTTTATGTTTCAGAACTTCACCTCTTCTGTAGGAGCTCGGAAAACACTGCTCTTCAATTGTTCTCAAGTACCCCAACAATGTGCATTCAGAGTTATGCCTTCCAGTGAACTCCCCGTACTGCAGATGTGCAATTTAATGCTATGGCTACAATGCTGCTACAAATAACACTTTGCTTCTTTTACAGGGTATTCTGAAAATTTTAATTATTTTTTTTTAATGGTTACCACCAGCATGTTATTAAAGTAGAAGCTAGTGATTTTTGACTTCTTGATCTTCCCACAGTTAAATGTACAAATGTCTCTATGTAGATTCCAACCTACAAATACAGCTAATTCAACAGTACACTCTTAAATAATAATTATACACCTGCAAATGAGGTCTGGGTTTTAGACAGCAATATTAATACGTAAAACAAAGTCATATGCAGCATTATCACAGACTCCAGAGCCAAGAAATAACTTACTGTCTGGCAGTTTGCATCTTCTAAATATCTCCATGAGCTCATCCACTTGAACAAAGGGACCCTGATTTGTTACCGAAGAAGAAGAAAGATTATTTTCAATGGAGTGATGCACACTGTGGTTCTGTCAAAGCAGAATCTCTTTTACAGTTTGAGAATTCATTAAAACAAACCTGAAAGCAAACAGGAGGTGGCAGGAGCTTCATAAGAACTACAGCTGCTGGTGGAACAGGAAACACACCGCCTGGGACGGGATGTAAACCTGGAGCTGAGGACAGAAAAACTATGAAGGCAGTGCAAGACAGCTAGACCTGAACTGCTTTAACAGCACTATTATTTGATACAAATAATTACTACCCTGTCACACTTGCCTCTACTAATTACATGTTTAGTCAGTGATCTGAAGTCTATGAGCAGTTTGTATAACTGCTTATTACCATTTACCAGACCCCAAACTTCTTGTACTTATTTCCATGTGACCTTAGTATTAAGTAAAATATATATGCCTTTAGCAATGCAATTAAATAACAGCCTCAAATTTAAGTACATGTTTGGGTGACTGAAGACTAGGAAAGTCTGTGATTAGCTTTGCTAGGTTAATAACTTGCCACTGGGTGAAATAAAACCCCATCTGACTTACGTGCTAAGTGTCGTGGCTGAAATGGAATCATTTGTTGAGTGTCCGGTTTTGGATATTCGGGTTTTCTGTCCACCTCATCTTTGAGGACAGGCACGATGGAAGGTGCAACCACAGGGTCTGGAATTACAGCTGACAGCTTGGCACGAGAGACATCCTGCGAAAGCCAATGAGAGCCCTGAGCTTGGCAGGATGACACTGCGTGTTTAAATAACACAACAAAACTAGCCCAGGCGCTTATTCACAATCTTGTCAGTTCACTGTAAGTTCAGATGTCCTGTTAGAAGACCATCTGGGCAAAACTTGCATGTTTTCATCAAACAGTTTAGTCCTACGGTGTCCCAGCTGGGAGTGGAAACACTTGGTTTTGTTACTGAATGCAGCTATGTTTGTCATTATTGAGTGGCTCCTGGTTTTTGGGTTTAAAAGATTTAGGTGAACAGGTGCAGACCACTAGGCCTTTGCAGCTATCACTTCTCCCTCATTTCATTCCCTAGATTGCTTTAGCTGGAAAAGAAATAAAGCATAAGGCAGTCAGCAGGCATGCAAAGCATCAGTTCAAAGAGGATTATATTTTGGCATGTTACAAGCAACAGAAATCAGCCCAAGGGCTGAATGCTCTTGGGAACACGCCACCTCACATGCATTTAGCAAGATGTACTCTCACTTCAAAATAACTTCGTCCTGATCGTGTTAAAAGTATTCAGTGGCTCAATGTGACTCGTTTCCACCTATAATTATTATTTATTATTTATTTAGTATTATCACTATTATTTTACACCTGTGTGAGGACAATGATTCAGCTGCTTTTCTAATCTTGGTGACTTCTGTATTTTTCAAAAATTACTTTTCTGTGCAAGAAAAACAGAAGCCGAGACTTCACGTTTCTGAGACATGAAGGCTCTCTGCCTGGTCATGCCAATGTGAAACAGCAGTTCCTCAACGGAGCTGTTTCTGTTTGTCTGACAGACTGTTTTACATCATGCTTAAAAAACAATAAAATCAACATTTTATTCTGTTCTAGTGGTTTTCCAAAGTGTTAAGGCCTTCCACATGACTAAAACAGTAGTTAAAATACACGTGGTCAGAAATGAGATGGGAGACCACCAGCTACGTGTGTCTGGCCTAGATTTCCAATTGTGAATAACAACACCAAAGCACTTAGCCATAGTGAACAACTGAAGAAAAGCAGGCAGCCACTGATCCCTGGTAATTTTCCTCAGGCACTTGCAGCAGCCATTGGGACTGCAGTATGTTTGGTTTGATAATGAAGTGAGCAGAGTTTTCATACAGAAGACCTGATTCTACAAACTTCCAAAAGAATTTTGTTTTTTGAAGGAGCTCAGGTTTCAGTCAAGTGGAAGCCTCTAGCTGCAGGGTAATGGCATTTTCACATGGACCTCTTCATGGGAAGATGAGAGGTAAATATGAACACCAGAAGTTAGTCATGTTCCTTGCTGCTTTCTGCCTCTGGGCCAGCAATGCCCAACAAGGCAAGGAGGAGGAGGAGGAGGAGGAGGAGGCATACCAGACCAGGCCTGCTTGACCTGCTTTTCTATCAAGGGAAAAAAAGTCAGGCAAGCCCTAAACAAGGAACTGCTTAAGTTTGCCAGGACTGAAAACAGCAACAGTAGAATTAAGTGTTCTTATCCACTTTACCTTATATCCAAGAGCCTTCAGTTCACTAGTAGAGCAAGGGTACAAATCCATGAACTTGTACCTGTCTACTAGCAGAGCTGTTTCTTTACCCTCATATTCTTCCTTGAATGCTGTAAACCTCCGTTTTTCCACTTTCAGTATACTGGCCAGATCACCAATATTACTTTCAAAAGCTAAAAACCGAGCCCAGATTTCCCTGTAAAACAGATAGACAGCTGCTGAAGGAGGAAGAATCACTGATCACAGCCCAATTAAAAAACACATGAGAGGAAAGATTCAAAGTAGGCAATCAGGGAACATGTGAGTACTTCTATTATTTTGTTCAGATGTATCTGTAAGATGTGTTACCTTCCCAGGGCCCTATATGTTTCTGTAAGACTTTCAATCTATTGAAATGGATTATAAAGGACTTGGTTATGGTAAAGAAAAGACTACTGGCGTGACTTCTGCCTTTGAGGTAAGCTATCACCCTCAGTGCAAGATGCACGAATAGACTTCTTTCATCCTGCTACACAGAACTGCACTCTGATCCTGCTATGTGAGGGACTTTTCAATACAGATTGTGATTTAGTTCATCTGCACAGAATAGCATAGTGTAGCAGGCAAGAGCAATGCCCTCTAGCACAACAGCAGCACTTTGGAATTTTACACAGCCCAAAATATATATAGTTATTGCTCATTTCTCTGTGGAAAATCTCAACTAAAGCAACATCTGGCCATGTTTCTGGACTTGATTCAACTTCTATTTTAGCTTTGGAGTTCACCTTCAAAGAAGATTCACCTTTCAAATTCTAGGTTTTTTCTCACTTTTAAAATGGACATAAAAGTACTTCTCATGAAAGGTAAGAACTGAAGTACAGAGTGAATGTGCACAGCAGTGCGACATCCAATTCCTTAGTTTTGCTGCCTGCATCTACCAGAATACTGGTGAACACTTGGACTGCTAAGGGTTTGGTAAACATTTTTTTCAGAGAAATAAGTTTAACAAGTAGTAATGAAAGTCTGGCGATGAGTGGTTAATCCAGGTCTTTCCTGGGTCTTTCCCTGTTTTGTGTTCAGCTGTCTGGGAGTCATTCAGATTCGCCTCAATAAATTCCTGGCTTGCCTTCTCTAATAGAGATGATGTTCTTGACTCCCTCTCCCCATCTACTTAAAGCATCTCTGGTGAGTGATACACGTCAATAGCCATGCCACCTGCTCAGACCACTGCATCCTTACTGTGCAGGAGGCTTTTGCACTCTATCCTCAACAATCGTGTCGATGAGGTTTTAAAGTCAATAAATTGATGAATTTCTCTGCAAGTAGAATAGGGACTTACACAAATCTGTCACAGTACTTGCTATTTTACACAGCATGAAGAAGGGAAGGAACGTCTGCACCTAATTCTGTCCTGCTGTTCATGTTTCTAATTTCTTTGGGATGTTTGTAATTGAAAGGGGTTATGTATGTTTTTTAGTGTAGTGAAACTGCTTTTGCAGACGTACCCAGATTTCTCCGGTGGAAGGCTCCCTGAAGTTAAAACGCGTTCAAACAAAACTCTTGTATTATTGTCCTCTTTAAAAATAGAGAAAAAAGAAAAATCAAGCTGAGTATAATATATTAAAGGCAATTTAAAATCATGTCCATTCAAAGAAATGCATACATTGGATTAAATATAAGGCTGACATTCTGATACCTGGATTTGAAGTTCAGTAAAGTAGGAAGAAAGTCTGAAGGCCTACATAAAACTTTACCAGCGTTAAATTCTACTGTGAATTTGTTATTTGAAAGTCTATTTTTGTTGGTAGCCACAAACCCATCCTACCACAGGTTTTTTTATAACAGCACAGCTATTCCTTGCCATTTTTTCAGGATCTCTGTTTTTTTTCCCATTTTCTGTAATTACAGTGGCTTGTCTTGGTAATTTAAAATTTGGCATTTCAATTCATTACTCCCCTTTTAAATGAGGACAATAGTAATCCACTTCTATACTCCTTGGAAGTCCTCCCGAAAGTATGGGACCTGGTTGGTGGTTTTGGTCTTAAACCTGCTGGCTTCCGCTCTGTCTCTGCGTGTTTTGCCATTTCTTACATTTACAGGTGCTCAGAGACCAATTTTCTTGTTTTTCAGTAAAGTCAGCTGGGTTGCTGACACACAGCAATACACTGGCAAATCTTAAGGTAATTTTTCCCAAAGGCAGTCTATGGAAAGGTGTTGCAAATACTCATGTAGACCTCAAATAATTCCTCACAAAATGCAATACACTTTGACTTGCAAAAGGCTCTGTTTATGGCTCACAGAAAAAAAAAAAAAAAAAAAAAGAAAAAGCTTTCAATCTGTTCAAACTTTCAGAGCCTGAAAAAACAAAGGTCCTGCAGGCTGACAAGGGAGACTCATGTGCCTGGTGCCTGCAGAATGCACCAGAAGGTCCAGAAGATCCTGCAGCAGAGCTACCTGCAGCCACTGCTCACTCCAGCCGCATGGAGGCCAGCTCACAAACCTGAGCTAGGCAGAGGAAAAGACTGGGATGAACCACTCTTCTCTAACTCCCCATGAAACGAGGACCAGGGCAGTTCCACACAAAGGTCTTTACCAGCCCCAGCTCCCCACAGCAGCGCAGGCTTCTTAGAACATCACTGTGAGCTCTCGCATCAGGGAATCCCACGCAGAGACCTTCCACCACCTCCACCACCCCCTGCACAGCTGCTGCTGTGCCCATGCCCTGCTCTTTGCATCCAAACCAGTTCCCCAGCAACTTCCAAGTAGAACTGATATTTGCCATACTGCTTTTACATCCTGCTCATCTCATCTATTTGAGGAGAACAAATTTACATTAATTCTAGTCAGGACCAACTAATCCATCACTTCTCTTCCGAACTTTTTCCTCAGGATTTAGATTTCTCGGTGTCCTTCTCACTGTTCACAATAGATGCTGTCAAACTGCTGCAGTGCAAGCAGTGAGTTACAGTTTGGAAAGTTCACTCTCCTCTATTCTGCAGAGACAAGATCTAATTCAAGATCTGTACTTCTGGAACTTCAATAAGGACAAACCAGCAGGTTTGGTTTTCAAATTAATTGCTGAGTTTCATGAAGAGGTTTCATTGCTTGTCAAGAAGAATTAAAACTAAAATATAAAATGTAAACTAAATTATAAAACCTTGGCCTTTAAACTCACAGAGAAGACAGATGAATGCTTCAAGGGACCTCTCAAAGCATAAAACTTACCATTAAGATGAGAAAGGTAGTCGATATATGCCAGTACATATTCTGGAATGTCCCCGTATTTTTTCAGTCCTAGCTCAAAAATCTTAAAGGCCACAGACTTATCCTGCAAACATTTAAGAAGAAAAACATTGCTGGCTTCAGTGAGCTACACACCCTCCTGACACTGCTTTAGTATCAAACTGAGTATCTATGATTACCTTACTACAGTAATACTCCATTAAAGCTGCTGTAACATAGACGTGATGGCGGGTCCGGGTATCCTCTCTTGCCTTCTTAAATATCATTCTTCCAGATTTTATGCCTTCTGCTCTCCTTGCAAATTTCATATATTGGATATAGACCTAAGGTGCATATTAATGTTTATATAGCATCAGTCCTGACAAAGACTACTAGAATATAAAAGAGTTCTTTACCATAGCTGAAATAATCTTTCCTCACAAAACACAACTAAAAAGTTGTAACAGAAACAAGACTCTATTGTGCCTCTGTGGCGTTCTGCTAGAAATTCTGAGGCAAAGCTTTTTATCTACTTTTTGGGGGTTGTTTTTTTTTTAAATGGAATATACCGAAGACTGATGCCCTGAAATGCCAACAGTTCATACACAGATTTTTCCAAGGAAGGGGAGATGAATGTAATTTACATAAACTGGTGCCTTCAGGAAACTAGAGGCTTACTGCAAAAACTGTAACTTCCCAATGAAGTTAAGACATCCATAAAGCTAAAGAACAGCCCAAAGGCCTGATGAAGCATTTTACTGTACATTATACAATCAAAGACACAAACCGTCCTACAGATATTTATACCTGATCAAGGAAATAATGAATGTGCTGTTTAATTCAGTTGCCAATTTGTGATCTGCATTTCTTTGGGATTTAACTTTCCTCCACTATGAACTAGATCACAAATAGGAGCATTTTCAAATAGGGGGAACCAGTTTCTCAGAAAACATGCACTTGGGAAGCATTGTGATGTGTCTTCAATGACTAGGAAGTGTCAGTAAAGGGATACCTTTCCTCTGACACTTACCTGTTGTTTAATTTTAGACCCTGGACCTTCTTTTTCCTTCTCATGCATTGTCATGTCTATTTATAAACTGAATGACTTTCTGAGGGCAGGTCACTTCTCACACCATTTGTTCTGTGCTACCACAGCTGGCACTACAGACAATGTTGTTTATTACAGAACTTAAGCAGCTGTATAGCAATACTCCTTGATACTAATATGGTGCATTACAAATTTATATGCAAGCTACATGTACATAGGATGATGCATTTCAGCATAGGGAGGACAATGGGCAAAAGCAATGTGCTTTTAATCAGTTAAGGGGAGGCAAAGCACAATTTTATTTGAGCCAACAAAACACACACTAATTCTTATGAGCTGTATCATGAAATCTTTAATATTGCATATCTTCGTTGCTTGTCTTAAAAGATTTTCCAAAAGAGAGAGGACAAAACTGCACGACTTGGTGCATCTAAGTGGGTTAAAGGCTACAGTAAATCACCCTTGCTGAAATGTTAATCTAATTCTGTCATCTCAGCACATCTGCTCAACCACCCCATGACCCAGTGAACTCCTGCAAGTACTTCCCCATTATTTGTGTGCACTCAAGTGACTATTAGTGTAAATGTGGAAAAATTCTATGCTACCCTCATCTTACCAGAGTGGGATCAATGTCTTCAATAGCCAGGAGCCGGTTATATATGCTGTGCACTTTCTCATACTTCATACGACTCTAAGTAAATACAAAGGAAATACAGACCGTTTGGTAATACTATCACAAATCACCTGTGAGAATGTAAAAATCAATCTGAAGGAAAACCTGCAATATTTCTGTTCCCTTTTCCCCCCAGTTGAACACTAAGCCAGCCCCTTTATTCCAGGCTGCATTTTCTCTTGTGCAGTCACTTCTTTACTTCCCACATTAATTTCTCACTTGTGCTTACATACATGGTTTTCAAGAGTTTCTGATGTCTTTTTCTACACTTTAGTAATACTGCAACAGAACTGGGATTGTAGGTGTTTGGGATAATAAGACTGTTTCTTTTACCTCTATCTAAAAGTAACATGCAGACAGCTAGGAAAACCCCGTTCCTTCCTCTCCAACATTCACATTTCAAATAATCCATTCTGTTCCCTGCCAGCTGCAGCCCTCCAAGGTTTATTGTGGAACCTCAAAAACCCTAAATAGCTGCACTGAAAGCCAAAGAAAGCTTTTTTCTTTAAAAGTCAAAGATTTGGGTTGTTTGGTTGTTGGTTTTTTTGCTGCTGTCCTCAGGATCCTCCTGCAAAGACTCCTCCATGTTATGAAAAGTGGGCAAAATATATCCTGCAGAGAACTCCACAGTCCTTATCTGATCAGTGGAAAACGGACTTTATTCATGGTGGCTCATGTGCAAACTCAACCAATGTCAGGGCATAATTATTCATTAGCGAGGCTGTGCAGCAAGGTTGCAGCCTGGGTAAAGCGATTTCTCAAGAGAACCTCCCATCCTCCACCACAGCCATGCAAAGACAAACATTAAACCCCCAAAAATTAGACACGAAAGGTGTCCTTTATCCCCATTTTAAAAGTGAAGAAGCCTATTAAGCTTTCAAGCTCATAGCAAGTTTAGAAATATAGTTAATATTTAAGTGGAAAGACAGTAGATTTTCAAAATTTTTATATTGAATACTATGGATTTTTTCTCTCTATTTTGTCAGCCAAGTGTCAGAAACACTGAAAGAGATTAAGGCTAGAAGAATCAGTAAGTTACTTCTGTAGACTTTTGTGCATTTAGTATGTTTCAAATAAATGATATTATCGATGGAAGATGTCTTTGGGTTTTAACGTCAGTACATCGCTGTTTTTGCTCACCTCTTCATAATCTGCATATGCAAAATAAAGAAGCATATTCTTCTTTAATAAAGTGCTGATCGCTCTTTCATAAATATTAGCAGCCTCATCACTGAAAAGTTTAGCATTGTTCATGTCCTGTTATAAAATAAGTATAATGTAATTGTTTAGCATCTATGACAATGCAGGCCAATCTATGGAATATCTTCTATGTGTGAGAAGTCCCAGTGAACTTCAATGCAGTGCTCCAATAAAGAGATAACATCTCCCCAGTACCTAAAGAATCACAAAGTCAGGCCAAACCCCACCCCCCAGACCTAAACCTGGCCAACAATGAAACAGTTTTTCGTAATTCTTATCTCAAATGCAAATATTTTTAAATTCTGGACAGCTCATGGCGCTGAGTATTTTTCACACCCCCCCTAGTTAGTTCTTAATTATTTGAGGAAAAATTAACAGTACACCACATTGAAGCAATGAGGGAAGAAAGAAAACCAGTGTCAATCTGCTTACCCCTTTTTCAGCTAGCAGTTTACTAGATTGCTCGAGGTACTGTGCAGCTTCATACCAGATATCTGGGTGATGTCCCAGAACCAAAAGGCATTGCTCATAGGCAAACATAACTGTGGGGAAAAGATAAGAAATACCCCTTGTATTATGGCAGAAATGGTATCATTTTGCACAGTGGAAGGATGAAATACAAAAAACAGCAAATAAATTGGACAATACTAACACTAAATTGGCTTTGAATTCAGTATGAAACTGTAATCATTGTAAGGAATTCTATTAATCACAATCAGCAGCTAAAACCTGTCTCCTCCTAGCAGAACTTATTCAAGAACACCAGCCACAGAATCAGGCTGTGATCCACCACTTCCTGACCTCCAGTGAAAGTTCAGTGACACATGACCATAGCACCCCCCAGTTCAAGAAACTTGATCAACTTCTGCTCCAAATGCTAAATCACACCATTAATTATGCTGGAGGTCATTAATGGAGCTAACAAATACAATTCTACATGTCCTAGCACAGTATCTAATTACCTCTTTTTGTTATGAGAGTTTGATCTTCTGTACGCAGCGGATTGCTCTTTTCCCACTGGATGTACTTCTTCCACATGTCTACCTGCTGAGCCTCTTGGGGGGTATTTTGTGGGGGGACAGAGGGAGCATTGCGGTCCAGACCTTTCATCACTGTCTCATATTCCTGAAACAGTGAAGGAGCAATGTTTCTAACAACAGATTTAAACACTTTAAACACTTATTTCGGGTTATGCTTTATAAAACTGATACAAATATTATAGCACAGCAACCTCATTAGTCTAACACATGCTTTTGTTTGAAAATAAGACCCAAATTTAGTGCTTGTTTGTAGGAAAGTTAACACAAGGCTTTACCTTTGCTACACGTCGTGCATTCATATAATCTCTACTCCTGTCTTCAATCATCTTCTTAGCTAAGTGAATATTGATGCCCTGGAGAGGGGTAAAAAGAGGAACTGGGAATGTGCAATTTCACTTTAGAAATACTGAATCTCATTTCATACAGAAAAGGGCTTTAAAGGGGATGCAAAAGTGAGCAAGAAGGACAAAGTTATTCTAGAATACTACTGTGAAAGGTACTGCATTTCTCAGACATACGAGCAAGAACTTACTCATTAGAATTAACTCACTACTAAAAATCCAACTGACATAAAGCAACTCCTGTAGATTTTTATTCACTTACAGCTTTCAAAAACACAATGAAATTTACATAAATCTGCTGGGGGAGAAAGTGGAAAGAAGCTATTTGTGATTTACATTTTTCCTTTTCAATCACAGGCTGTCAGTCTGTGCCTAGTCAGTAAAGCTCCCTGCCTTGCTGCTCAGCCCATGGAGACTGAGACAGCGTATGAGCAATTCAGTGTTCTTTGACAAGCAGTAATAGATTGACCTCCCAGCTCAAAGCTTCTCCCCTATTGCTGAAGCAGTTGACAGCTTTCACACCTGCCATGTGTGTACCTCTGTCAGCTGAGAAACTTGAGATGCACCACTGCAAAAAATGACACCCCTACAGGACTGCATTCTCAGCCATGCTGCTGAGCAAGAGCAGTAGGGGATTTGGGGCAGGCAGGTCGGCCCCAGGCACACCTCACAGCTCAGCATCAGCAATGCAGGCCTGGTCATGGGGTCCCAGGCATGAACAACATCTCAAAGCACTGTTCTTTCAGCAGGATAAGCAACCACCCTTCTGTTCATGCCTGCAGCTGGGGGGGGAGTTTGCTGGTGTGGCTTGCCAGGACTCTGAGGAAGGGGAGTGCAGGTTTCAGTCGTGTTCCAAACAGACAGCTGAGCCAGGTACCCACTACAGAAGCAGAGGTACCACCTGGACTCGCGCAGAGCACTGTCTGGGATAGCTATCTGGGCCAGTTAGCACACAAAGCCAGCAATGCCCCATTTAACCCAGGAGCACGCTGAGGACACAGCTTGTTCTCCCAGGAAGTGCTCCCAGCCTCATGAGACACAGCTTCGTGAGCCAAAGATTGTCACTTCTCTGTCTCAGCAGGGGTGCTACCACTTTTGACCATTTGTCTAATTAAAGATACTGGTGGCTGACAGGCTGACATTGCTACCTGGTGGCTACCCACTGAGCTAAAGGGAAGCGTGAGTGTTTTAATTGCAACAAATAGCCAGTAACCTTTCATACCGAGAGCTGCACATGATCTCTCTGCTGCTAGGCTACTGATGTGGGGAATAAGTGACCCCTCAAAGAGCCCTTCTGGTGAGGAGCAGTTCCTTCCCTGTACCAGCGCACCCGTGAGCAGCAACCCTTTCGCTTGAGGCCAGGCTGACCAGAACACGATGTGCAGAAACCTGTGTCCAAGCAGAGCACTAGCCCCTGGCTTACTGCACTTCTGAACAGCCCAAGGTGTGCACTACCACTGTCAGCCAGAGCTGCTTCAGCTCAGAGAAGGTACAGGACAAATGTAGGACAGGTTTCAGCTATCATTTTGGCAGTCTGCCTACATATTAATGAAAATAGTAGGGATCAGCAGTGACAACCTTCATTTGCTGTGTGGGAGGGGAAGAGGTTTACAGGGAGTTTGTACCGCATATTTTCATACTCAGGAGAAAGCACGTCACTGGTTACCTTCCCTGGTGGTCAGCAGGTTACCTGTGGTACCCCCGAATACAACGGGATTCATGATTACAGTACACGCTCATGGCTGTGGATGCCCCGAGGTACTCCCACTGGCTTAGTACAGTGGCCCTATTAATGTCAGAGGTCACTAAACCTACAACTACTGGGCAAGAAGGAAAGTGAAACTGGGGATTCTTTCCTGCTCAGTGCACAGCTGACCCATAGCATGCTGGCCCCTGCAAGCCTAAGCGCAATAGGCAGGACAAGGGAGTGCTGTATGAGCATCTCTGCTTGACAGTGCTGAGCATCAGTGCATCCACCCTTGGTTCTGCCTTCTCACGTCTGCTGACTGGGATAGTTTAACAAGCTGCTACTAAATGTGTTTACAAACACACTGTAAAGGTGCAGATACAAATTGGCCTGCAAGGCCAGTGAGTTGAGGTTACACTTGTTGAAGACAATGTGGTAGCAGACTCACCTGAATTGATGCTGTAATGGCTTCAGGTGAAGAATGGTGAGGAGCATTTAATATGTACTTGAGCCCATGTAACTTACTACTGTGAAGGAAGTCCAAAGCATCACAGCTGAATGCCATTCTATCCCGTTCAACTGTAACTGAAGAAGGGGAGTGCCTCCTTGGGGAAGCAAGCCCTCACTGCCAGCTGATTTGCTTTAGCTTCCATTAAATATATTCTCTATCACTGAATGCCATGATTTCTAATCCACTAGCAAATCCATTGGGCCACCAGTGACACAGGCCAGTTAAATGTACCCTATGGAAAGTGTTTACAACAAATCAAAAAATTCACTCAGGTACCTGCAGAGTTTTAGCACAGGCCTTGGTACATGCTGAACACTCAAACCATGTTTATACTGCCGGTCATCGCTTTTACATACAACTATTTAGTGGACATAGTTTGGGTACCATACTTGATGATACGATTATTATTTCTTTCTTAATGTCACAAAAAAAGAAAAAGATCATGTTCTTGATTACCTCTTCATATTTGTTATAATCTCTCCAGAGCTGTTCTATGTTTATCATTGGATTCACACAGCCACGCTGGTAAACCCTACGGACAGCTGTTATCCTCTGGTTTTCTGCATAAGATCCTACTGCTTCTCTAAACAGGGGGGAGAGAGATGAACGTCAGCTATTACAGATCATAATTAGCACAAACATCAACATTACAGTAACTGAGCTTCAAAAGAGTCTTTTAAGGTACTTACACGCCTTTCAAAAAATTGATGTAATCCACCCAGATCTATGTGAGAAAAAAATATCATGAAAGCAATGTTTAATTGTACTTGTTATAAAGGTAGATATTAAATGTGTTTTGATAAAGAAAACATACCTGGTATGACATGATTTCCATGCCAATCTTATCCAGAGCAAAATCATATGCCTGAGCCATTTTTTCTCTGAGGAAAAAAAAACAACAAACCACAAAGACCATAGAGCAAGCGTTTAGTAGTTTGAAAAATCTTTATTTAGAGCTTTTGTGCAGCAAATTCTAACCAAACTTTGAGGCATGAAAAGAATCATTCAATGGCTGAGAGTAAAAACTGGCATTCAGGTAGCTTTAAATTCTGCATTTATTCATTTTTAATTGAAGAAAATGATGTAGACCTATTGGTGGCCATCTAGCATCCTAACAGCTCCTGAGAAACTGTCCCTCAAGGAAGCGGAAATCCATATATACTATGTGAAGTGGAGAAGACAGAAACCAACTGCTCTTTGTATCATCTCAGCTGACAGATGTACCCATGGTTTCTTTTTTTCTCAGAATTCCACAAGCCCCATTGCAATTCTGCAGGAACACACAAGGCTGTGGTCTCCCCTGTGTTGAAACTGCCCCAAAACTTTCACGTTATCTCTTATCCCACCAAATCCAAAGTATTTTCCCCCATATTAAAACATTCACAGAGTACTTCCTTAGTCAAGTTTCAATGAAAACAGCTTTTTCTCTCTCCCACTTTTCTTCCAGTTTGACTCAGATATCTTTCAGTACCTGGCTACCTCCTTAACCATACCTCCAGGAATAAAAGAGGAAATTTCAAGTGGATCAAAAGTTTGGGGGTGTGTGCTGGCACGTTTTCAGAACAGTCTTGTAAAACTAAATTTAAAAATCCCTTCTTTTTTTCTCTGTTGATGCACAGTTGCCTTGCCATTTATAGTACACAGAAATTATGGTGGGCTGGGGAAGAAGCTGTTTATAGATTCTGAGAGGCACTAGTATTTTTTGAAACCTCAAACAGGATTACAAACAAGCACAGTGTAGAACTGAAAAGTGATAAAGATTATTGCACCCTAAAATTCTGATACCCTGATTTTTAATGCCTTTTTATGCATTCTGAAACTTTCTCTAATTACAGAACTGAGCACTACTGCTAGTTAAATACAGGACCTCAGCTGGAATCGATGAGTTTTTGTAAAGACTCTAAACAGGACACTAAGGGGAAGGACAGCAAAAGGACCTGACTGAGGAAGAAGTGTGCTTCAGACTAGCTCAAGCACCGATCTCATCTGCAGGGAACCAGCATGGATATGCCAGCTGCTCCCCGCTCTTGTCCCTCCCACCTTGTCATATGGATCCAGACTATGGAACCAATTTTACCCAGCAAACTCAAGTAAAGAAACTTTAAAGAAATGTTTTCTAAATGCAGATTATCTATTATCCCCCCAACACTTTACCAGAAGATCCCCAGGCAGGTTTGCCATCCAGGCTCCTCCCCACCCCCTAGTCAATAATCAAGAAGAGATTCACCATAAAACTAAAATAATTCAGAGCGAATCTGTTAACTTACTTGTAACTAGGGAGCTTCCCCTTGGTTTCTCGAACATAGGAAAGGTAACATTTCCATAAATCAATGTGTAAAACCTTCATAAGGCATCGCTGAAATAACTGTTTAATACATCAAGAAGACGTGATCAGGATTCCAGATATCGAAATCAGGTTTCTACTTTCAAAGCTATACAGTATGAATTGAAAAGATCTTTGTAATTATGCGTAAAATTTGTAAGAAAGAGTAAGTTAAACTACTTATCCTTTGGACTAAAGCATATCTGTGCTATGCAAGGGAGCTGGAGAGAATTAAGCAGAAAAATTCCTCTGCACATTTCACTGATTACAGCTTGGTAGCAACGACAAATTGATTTTAGTGATACTTAGCTGTGTTTTTAATAGAGCATTCGGCAACACCATAGTTCTTTTCAATCTGCTTTAGCTTAATCACAGGATACATGTTCTTTCTATAGAGATACATTACATATTGATAGGACTCACCTTTTCCACTTTGTCATAATTTTTTGCTTTAATCTACAGGGAAGCAGAAAAAAAACAGATCACTTAAGAAACTATTTTAGAATAGTAGGAATATATTCTTCATACACTACTATAGCATTCCAGTTTCTACTTTGGCTGCCTAAACTCATTACGATGTAACACACATAATGTCACAAAAATATAATTAAGCATAGAAAAATCACGTACTTTGCTTTTTTCAAAATTAGCAGGTTTGGGTTTGCTGTTGCTGTTTTTAATTTAGTTTTCACTTCCACTAGGGCCAAAGTTTACGTACCAGTAGGTGAAGTTGCTTTCCTGCATTCCAGTTTGGAGACCTAGACTTAGCCTCTTACTTCAAGATACTCTGTTGCCTTAAGTGCATATACTGACTTAAATACCAAAGCCTCTAGATCAGGATTTAGTAAATTAAGGGTAAGATACCATATTTAAAAAAACTAATAGACTAATAAATGTATTATGTTTGAATATTTATTTCTCAAGGTACAATTTATTATAACATGCTGATGTCGAACAAGAGAATAACAAATAAACCGCAGAGACACTGTTTTTCAAAAGAGGACCCCAGCTCTGGTGCTCTCCTCCAGGAGGGCCCAAAGCACACTCACATCTGGGCACTTGTGTCATTCAGACAGCACACACACTGCAAAGGCAGAGGGTGAAACCTAGTCTCGAAGTAGCATGTTGCCTTTCAGACAAGACAAAGAATAGCACAAGACAGACACAGAGGGCAGACTGGCACTCTGCATGTATTTATTAGCTCCTGACAGTGCCTTTGTAAGTTGCTTGTGTGCATTGGAATAAAGACCCTTTAATAAAATAAGGATTCGTTATACTGTGCTGCATTTTTTTAAAGCATCAGACCTCCATTTTAAACTCCTTGCTCTTTGTTTACTTAAGGATTCACAGCTTTTATTTTGGTGTGTAACACGAGAGCCACAGAAGCAGCTCTGAAAGCATTTCCTTTTCCCCCATGAAGCACAGTGGTAGGCAACAAAGAGCATCCTTTTGCATCAGGTATTAATTATACCATTTCTGTAACACTCCCATTCTAAAGCACAAGAAAATTTTTAATGAAAGTGCTGAGAAACACTGACTCATCTGTAGGAGGCCTAAAATAAGTATTGTACTGCACCTGTGCACTGCCTGTCCTGTTGCTGCTTTCCAGATTCCATATTCCTGCAACACCCCAGCCTCCAAGAGCCCTAACAGAGCATCCCCCTTTCTCTCGCTCCTGAACAAAATTGATTAAAATGAGAGAATTCAAACCAGTTTTGCAGGAAAACTTTTTTTTTAATGGCACACATGGCAGACCGGACCCTGGTGTCTGTACTGCTTTCGAGCTGGAGCAGTATCCTGCCCAGGTTAAAAGGATTCCACAAAATCCAGGTTTACAGAAAATTAATCCTAACTATACCTGGCATACACAATTTTCAGAATCTTTCTGCAAACTATTCAGTTAAAAGATAGCTGACCAAAGAAATGACTGATTATAGAAATAACAATGCCTAGAAATAACACTGAACTCAACATCAGGAGGCAGGGTGTCCATGCTACGAAGAATACCTCTAAGCCTTGCAGTAAGACACACTGACCCAACACACCTTCAGGGACAGGGACGTATCCTACTGCCACTTTCTCACAGCTTTTTGGGAGTAGAGCACCTTTCTTCACCTTTAAAAAGCACCTGTAGTAACTGTAGGGTCGTTAAGGCTTTTGTGGACACAAAGCAAGGAGTCTGACACTGCCCTACTCCTAATGGCAGGAAAGTAAACTCTTGTATTTTAATATTTTCCTCCCCTGTGAAGTCCAAAAAAGACATCTCCCAGCTTTACTTCATCCTTTTTTGACAACAAGAGTAATTTTTCAGGTTCCTCAGCACCTGTTACAATACAACAAAAAGGATTCAACTCCCACTGAAGAGTCAGAACTCAGTCTATACCTCCCATCTCCTGCAAACACCTTTTATCCTTGGTCACTGAGTGGAAAAGAACAAATGAATCTTGGTTTGTAGGTCTACAGAGTACAGCTGCCTGCCTGCTCTTCAGTAAGACGAGACCCCACAACCAAAACTCACAGAGTGAATCTCAAGTATAAATCCTTTCTTTGTGAAAGTTAACTAAAATTAATCCATGGCTTTGCCACCCACAGAAGGCATCACCTTGTAGTTATTCAAGAACAAGACCCAAAATAATTTTTAAAAGCTCAAAGTGAAAAGCTGTAAGCAGGCAGGACAAGGCTTAGCCTTGCAAAAAGCGTTTTGCACATCCACCCCACGTTAAAACACAAAACGAATTCCTAGATGTAGCCAATGTGAATGCTCTCTCCCTTCCCCCTGTCACCCAAAATCCCAGTGACAACTATTACTCAGCAGAAGTGACCTAGACTGACCTCAGTAATTGTATACAGCATGAGGTAAGTGCACAAGTAAATGGTAATCCCACTTAAGTGTTTATTACAGAAACTTTATTAGCGCCTGTCAGCACTAATCAACAAAGCAACATCAAAAGACGAAAGCACACAGGGTACTTATCCATTAGACTTATCCATTATCCATACATGCACTTCCAATAACCAAAGACCTTGAAAAGCAAAATATTTTGCTAAGGAAAAAAAAGCTATTCCTTATTTGCAAGTGTTATGACTCAAGCAACAAAATATTTTCTACATAATCATCTGATATATAAGAAGCCACTGACCACATCTGGACTTCAAGTCAGTGTTACATATTTGATAAATCAACACAAGCAGTCTGATAGTAATATCTGAAAACTCAGAAATCTTGGTACCATTGATGTTAGGAGGCTGGAGATTGGTAGGATTTCTTAAAAATGAAGGAAAAGAAAAACCACTATTGGCCAATGCTTATTGTGTCTCTCTCTCAATGGAGAGTATTCATGAAGCCCTCAGAGCCAGAGGGCAAAGCATCTACATCTCCTTGCAGGCATCTCTTTGCATTTCTTGGATCACTACTCTCAAGCAAACATCCTGGCAGCCCTGGCTCAGGGATGCCTCAGGGATGGGGAAAGCCCAGAACCAGAGAAGGCATATACTGCCTCCAGGACCCACCATCACACAGTTGTCTTACATTTCTTGGTTTTCCTATTACAGACACAGGACCAGGCAGTGATTAGTGGACAAGCATTAGAGGATTGACATTAATACTGTATTTTTGTCCTTGAAGGAAAACACAAAGTTTAGAACAGATTATCAGTTTGTAACTGGCTGTATTCCTATTCTGACTGCTTTCACTCAAGAAGTAGGTGTTACCCTCGTGAAGGCTAAGACACAAGAGTGTCTCCACCACAGATCCAGCACCTACAGAATGAGCTTAGGTATACTGTCATTCTAGGGAAGAACTGGTATATATGTATGTCACCCCTCCATCCTCAAAGATTATACAGGGGCTACCTAGTCTGACCAGCTATACTTAAACATCTGACCTTGCCTTCCCATGCCTGTGACAATGAGAAATTCCACCTGTTTTGCTGAAAGAGTAACTTTAAACGTGATGTTCCAACAGGAAATTTAAGTCACTACTGTATCAGCTTTGTGAAAGACCAGTTCATAATAACAGCATCAAATTTCTTCCTAGAATATACAACGTGATTCCCTATAATGAGCTTCAAACATTCAAGGGCAAAATTTAATCCACAAATTACATTGCACTTCACCCTTTTTAACAGACTTACTACAAGAGATATATGTCATTTGTGATTATGCAAAGCAAGTAATTTTATTAATCTAGAGATTTAAGACTACTTTGTGGTATCCGGCAATGTACAACACAAGCCTAAAAACTGTCCTAGTTTTTATTTCAACCTTTTCAGCATTTCTTGGTTTGGATTAAGCCCTTAAGGAATCAAGGCTAGTATGTGGTACTTAAGGATCAGCATGGTACTTAAGGACCTATTTCTATATCCCAGCTCCATCTTTTTTTTTCAATGGACATTTTCCAAGGAAAACATTAATTTTCTCAAACGTAAAATCTAACATTCCCTTATCCACTGCCTCCAGCTCTCCCACTGGTGAGGTAGATCCTCTTGCCCTCTACCCACTACCCCTGCATTGCTCTCAAACATGTTTTGGAACTTTTTTGGAAGAGGGGCCTGAAGAGGAATGCTGTGCACCAGTGGCAGCCTGCTACAGGCAGAGGAGCTCACCTATATTCATGCAACGCCTATATTCATTCACAGTTAGATGATGAGGTATTAGATCATTAAAAAGTTAAGAATTTAAAAATAAAATCAGAATCTGTGTTGACCATTTACCTTTTTAATTTTTTGCATCTTGACTATTAGGGTAAAATAATCAACTACCCACTGTCAAGCCAGTAATATGGGTCTCTACCAGTATAGTAGGTGTAATAGAAATACATTCCCATTTCTCTACACATTTCCACAGGCTAGGGCTGGCTGGTGAGATGTTCACACTTCAGTTACAGACTAAATACTGTTTTGGAGGAGAGCAGTTCAAACTTTCAGACTGCCTCAAAGAAATGTAATCTTGAAAAGAATGGAGCAATCTAACATGCTAATTCCCTCTTCTGTCTTTAGCACGTTCAGCCTTTTGCCATTTGCTGAAGCTTCCAACTACTGAATAATTGAGTGAGCACTTAACACAACAAATTCGTTTTCCTACAGGTCAAATAACAGCAATTACTTTTGCAAATAGCAAACCAAGCCCCATTCAAGTACATGAAATGCAGGCGAAATGCAGGACTAACACTGCACTTGCATGTAACCATTGACCTGAGGCGTCTGGATTGTAATTGCCTCAATAACTGGATGTAACATTCACATATGCTGAAAAAAGCACATATTTCATTTGTGCAAGATATTCCAAAGCTTAACCAATGAAATCCTTTATTTAAACAATTAGCACATAACCGTGGATGTAACTTCTGTAATATACAATTTTAGTACAATTTGTACCAGATAAGGATTGAATTGTTTGGTATTTCTGCAGTCTTCATTTGGGGTTTTAATATTCCTTGAGAAAATGTAGCTTTTATC